TTGCTGGTGTTCATTCAAGAATCAGCCTCCCAATTCTTGCAAATTCTTTGTTTATGCTACAAGTCTCTTGATATCCTTCCTATTAGCACGGTATGGGGAGAAGACCAAGCTGGAGAGGGGAAGGAAAAACGGTTGAATTAATATTTCAAAAGCATTATATTGCCCCGCATCACATGTAAGTTGAAAATGAAACCATGAGAACTGAGAGGATAGGTTGTCCCTAGAGAGACTATCCCAAGAAAAGAAGAGAAAAGTGAGACAAAATTAAGAAACAGATTGGAAAGTTTATTTTACTAGAAAACCAGTGACCATTTCTAATATACCTCCCACCTATGTTTGGTTAGTAGGAATTTTCAGGAGTGATATATGTTGCTGTTTTCCAACTTTATATCTGAATATCAAAAATGCCGAATTTCTAGCATACTCATGGATTTAAAAACTCAGTAAGTTGTAGACACTCAATAAATTTTTATTCAGTAAGTGAATGATAAAAAGTAGTGGGCATAAATGGGTATATTTAAGAAGCACAAGGCTATATGAGCAGGAGGAGGTTCATAAATGTTTATGGAAAGATCAAGATTACAAATTAATTTAATATTTTATTTTGCTCAAACAGCATTTAATGGTCTTGAGGATCAACCAGTACATATACCTTGGAGAAGGTATTTCAATAACAACTCTCAGCCAGGCACTTAACTGCTGAATGTTGATGCAGGAAAAACAAAAAAAAACTACCAACAAGACAATTCCGTAGTGCTGCGGAAGTGGACAGTGGTTAGGGACAGTGGACTTTAACTTGTTGATTGGAGCTGTTACTACAGCAGTGAGCTGACCTGCAATATGAATCATTTAGATCAAAGGCTGAAAGTTATGTTTTCCTTTTATGAAGTCAGATCTACTCTGTCGCAGTTTGTAACTTTCAGCTGGAAGCTACAACATGCGTCTATGGAATCTGTCTTGGTTTCTGTTCTTTGACTCTCTTCTCGTGATTTCTGGCTTGGTAAGAACACAATGTATGGAAAACAACTAGAAAGATTTGGGACTGTTGATATTGATTGCTTACGACTGTTCAGTTTTTGTTTTTGTAAATTTCAAAATGTTAATATCAAAGGAATGTTTATTTTTAGAGGGGAGGGTATAGGGATTGAGACATAGCCCCATCAGAGCAGAGACATTGACATATTAAGGTCACGTTTTCCTTTCAGCTTTATTGTTGTGTAACAAGTTTTCTTTGGATGAGATGGGAAATGTGAATTTTGAGTATCATTCTATTTTTACTGTTGAATGAAATGTGGATTGCTGCTATAGTAACTTGAGACATGAATGAATGACAAAGGCACAGTCAATGCTTATAAGGTTTTGTAACATGAGGTTTCTATTTCTTCATCAATTTAGAATAACTTCTCTACAATTGAACTAATCTTTTCTAACAGATAGTTTGTATCACAAATCCACCCAGTTTTTTAAACAAAATGCCAAATGCCTCTGGGAAAACCTTTAGTTGTGATTTTCAGGTAGCAGTTATTGTATTGAAGTGATATTATATGAATGGGAACTAGAGAACTGCAAACAAGAGATACTGATTAACATATGTTAAAACGGTAACTAGGAACAAATCCTTGATAACTGTATTCTGCAGATGGCTTGGCATTCCTTGGTGAGTGTGTGCCTGTGTGTGGGTATAAATAATGGTAGCTATTCATCCAGTTCATACTCACTTTTTTTTTTGAGTCGGAGTCTCATTCTGTCATCCAGGCTGTGGTGCAGTGACACAATCATGGCTCAGGGCTCACCAAACCCTCAAACTCCTGGGCTCAGGTGATTTTCCTATCTCAGCATCCTGAGTAGTTGGGACGACGGGCATGCATCACCACATTCAGCTATTTTATTAATTTTTCTGTAGAGACAAGGTCTTACTATGTTGCCCAGGCTAACCTTGAACTCTGGAACTGAAGCAATCTTGGCCTTCCAAAGTGCTGGGTTTATAGGGGTTGTGAGCCACCATGTCCAACCATATTCATATTTTGTTAAGCACTTTAAAAGATTCTAGTATTTGGATATGTAAACTGTCTTTGAATAAAATTGTACTTTACGCTTTTGTGGCGATTTATTACAGTTTACACAGTACCTTCACATTATATCATATAACCCTCCCAATACCCACACAAAGCAGGTATTGCCATATTTTACAGATAGTCTGAGTACCCGGAAGGTAAACTGAATTATCTTGGTTCATAATGCCAGTAAAACAACTCAGACTATCCTAAGAGCTATTTTACTAGATTACACTAAGACATTTCTCAGACTTACTTCGTTTTTTTTCCATTGGGCATGTAGTCTGAGTTTCATTGGCCATTTGTGGAGAACCTATTTCCAGAAAAAAAAAATTCCATCACAAAATATAAGCATTGATTTTTTTTTCTTAAATATCTGATATTGTCTTTGAAGACAGAACCCTGGGAAAATATGAAAGTAAATATGATGAAAGGGGTTTTGAATAAAATTTCTTTTTTTTTTTGAGTTGGAGTCTCACTCTGTCGCCCAGACTGGAGTGCAGTGGCCGATCCCAGCCACCACAGCCTCGACCTGCTGGGCTCCAGCGATCCTTCCGCCTCAGCCTTCCAAGTAGCTGGAACTAAAGGCGCGCACTACCACACCCGGCTGATTTTTTGATTTATTGTAGAGATGAGGTCTCACCAAGTTGCCCAAGCAGGTCTCGAACCTGTGGGCTCAGGCAATCCACTCACCTCAGCCTCCCAAGTCTCAGGATTACCGGCTGAGCCTCCGAGCCTGGCTAAAATTTCTTTTTAAAAGATCATTGTAAATTACAATATTATTACAACATTAGAAGTAAATTATTAGATTTTTTCTAACATTGCTCCTAAACCCTTTAGAAAAATCTTGTGCAAAGTGAACACTTATTAGAGGGCTAGGGTCTAATGTTCTTTTCTTTCTTTCTTTTTTTCAATTTTTGAAGTTGGTTTCTTGTTTCCTTCACTTTCAAATGCATTTAACAGGCAGTTTCATTTTCTATATGAAATGAGAAGATCTTTGGGTCAATGTTAGCTGTCTTGAACATATGCCAGAAAGTAATCTATAATATGAATCAAAAATCAAACAACAAATGGCTAGATGTAAATTGAAACCAAGAAGACCATTTATATCATGGACATCACAATAATATGTTTTTTTTATGTATTTGTTTCCCAGCAAACTCCAGAAAGCTTTGGTGAGTCTATTTTCAGTTTTGCTCTAGGTTATGGAGAACCTAGGACGCATTTAATGCTAAACATCAACCTGTACAATTTATGCATAATTGCATTGACCTTTGATCTAACACTGGTTTATCTTGATTAATGGAGGGACACTTTATTTTTCGTGTTCCAAGTCCTAGACAGATGGTGAGATAGGAAAGACCAAACACAGTGACAGATGTGTAGACATTCTATAAATGCCATTTATTATTGTTTTTGCTATTTTGTGTCAAGTCTAATAGATCTGACACCACAGTCTACTCTGATTCAGTTGCACACTTAGAGATTTGGTCATGTTATCCATCCCCTTGCAATTTAAAAGAGTAATTCAAGTTTAGTTTAAGAATTTTGCTTGATAATTTTGAGGTATACTACACACACACACACACACACACACACACACACACACACACACACACACTTAGATTGGGCCGATTTGACCAAATTTGTTTCCTACTTTACCTAGTTATCTAGTCTAGTCTTTCAAATAAAGCTTAATAATGTATGAACTGACCAATTTCTTATTCCTAAAGTCATTTGGCATGCAAGGAATGTGGATAGTACAGAGTGTTTGTAAAAACCTTCAGTTTGGCTTATGGGAGGCTCTCAATCAATCTGTCAATCAGTATATGTTGAATCAGAATCTAGTAGTCATTAACCTAAGGCAAAAGAAACTTGCTTATTTCTGATTATATGAATGATAACTATTTTCTGCTTTATAAACATAATGTTCAATGTGTTTTTTTCTTTGTTATTTCAGTCAAAGATATAGATGGTGGAATTGACCAAGACATATTTGATATCAATGAAGGTTTGTGGATTTTCTTTTCTTTTCTTTTCTTTTTTACATCATCTGTTATGTGAAGAGTTTGCATCCAGTTTGCTAACATGAATTTTTATCTTCACGCTTAGGTTTGGGTCTGGATCTTTTTGAGGGAGACATCAGGCTTGATGGGGTGAGTTAAAACAATGTAAAGAAAAAAATCTGTTATTCACTGCAACCTAAATACAGAGTGAGAATTATTGGACAGTATGGGTTTTGCTAAGCCTAGTCATCTTGTTGTTGTTGTTGTTTTGTTTTTTTGAGTCTCTCAGGCTGGAGTGCAGTGGCACGATCATGGCTCACTGCAGCCTCGACTAGCTGGGCTCAGGTGATCCTTCCGCCTCAGCCTTCCAAGTAACTGGGACTACAGGTGCACATTACCATGCCTGACTAGTTTTTCTATTTTTTGTAGAGATGAGGTTTTGCTATGTTGCCTAGGCTGGTCTTAAACTCCTGAGCTCAAGTGATCCTCCCTCCTCAGCCTTTCAAGCACAAGTCACTGTGCCTGGTAAACCCAACTATTTCTAACGGTACAGAATCAAAGTGACACATTTATTCAATGAATACATTGTCCTCAAAGGGATGGTATAATACTGTCTTCATCTTTCATTACTCAAATTTCTGTTTAGTTAAAGCCACTGTAACTCATCAGATATGTCTTAGCCTTATTGATCTGATTGATTTTCATTATTGGAACAATATGACACTTTCATTTAAAAATAAAACCTCTGCCGGGCTCGGTGTCTCAGCCTGTAATTCCGCGCCTTTGGAAGCCTGAGGTGAGTGGATTGCCTTAGCCCGCGGGTTCGAGTCCCACCCAGGTAACTTGGCAAGACCTCATCTCTACAATAAATCAAAATGAGCCGGGTGTGGTAGCGCGCACCTGTAGTTCCAGCTACTTGGAAGGCTGAGGCAGAAGGATCGCCGGAGCCCAGCAGGTCGAGACTGCGGTGGCTGGGATCGGCCACTGCACTCCAGTCTGGGGGACAGAGTGAGACTCCAACTCAAAAAAATAAAAATAAAAAAATAAAAAATACATAAAATAAAATAAAAAAAAAATAAGACCTCACAGATTCAATCTAGTTGAAGCAAAACTTAAACTGAATTTGTAAACGTCTTCAATGAATCAGGTTTTTTTACCATAAGAAATAGATATTTTAAAAACAAACAAAAATTATGATCCATTTTGCTAGGAGTCTTCCTCCTTTGCTGACTTTCATGAGGCAAGTGACCATGTTGGGAAGGCCACATGACAAGGAACTGGGGGCACTTTCCCAGCCATAAGATCCAGCAAGAAACTGAGATCCTCAGTCTTGCAATCTGTAATGACCTGTATGCTGCCAAAAACCACGTGAGTGTAGAGACATATCCTTCCCAGTTAAGCCTCGGGTAAGGTTGCAGCCCTGAATGACACCTGGGTTGCAGCCTTGTAAAGCAGAAGACCTGGCTAACTGGGTGACTCTTGACTGTGAAACAATGAATGTATGAAGGAGAATCCAAAAAACCTGTAATTATCTTTTGGAGGGCAGGCCCCCCCACTGGGTAGGTGTTCTAGGAATCCATCGCCATCAGTGTACCAGCTAGCGTTGTTGTGAGAGACTGTGTTCGGCGTCAGTGAATTTTTCTTTGGAGATTCTTTCAACACATGTGTCCATTTCATGATAGGTGATTTATCAGCACACCTGTCCACGCTGCGCTGAGTGTTCAGCAGTTTTTGACCAAAAATGACATGATCCCTGTTCTCCATCCGCCCTTCCTTTTCACCCAATCTTGCTTCAAGCATCTTTTTTTGTTGTTGTTTCCCGGATGAAAAAAGTCCTCAAAGGGAAACGTTTTGCCCATGTGGAAAAGGTGAAGCAAAAGGTGGCAGAAGTACTAAAAGGCATCAAACTTGACAAATTCAAAACTGTTCCGAGCAGTGGAAAAAGCATTCTGATAGGTGTCTTGCATCAAACAGAGAATACTTTGAAGGTGACTGAATTTTAAACATGTAAGAATAAATACACAATTTTTTATTAATAAATTCCAGGTTTTGGGGGGGTTCTCCTCATATGTTGCTTTAAGATATTATATTTGTGGAAATTTATTATGCAGAAATAGGTAACAACTACAATAATCCTTTAAGAAAAAATAAGTTGATTTTGTGACTTTGATTCATCTCAACTTCGACTCATCTCAACTAAAATGGGTTGCCAAGTAAAAGTGCTTGCAACCCTACTCTTTTTTGTGTGTGCGTGTGTTGGAGTCTCACTCTGTCGTCCAGACTGGAGAGCAGTGGCCTCTCCTGGCCACCACAGCCTCGACCTGCTGGGCTCCGGCGATCCTTCCGCCTCAGCCTTCCAAGTAGCTGGAACTACAGGCGCGTGCTACCATGCCCGGCTAATTTTTATTATATTTTATTTTATTGTAGAGACATGGTCTCACCAAGTTGCCCGGACTGGTCTCGAATCCGCGGGCTCAGGCAATCCACTCACCTCGGCCTCCCAAAGCGCGGAATTACAGGCTGGGCCACCGAGCCTGGCCAGCAAACCTATTCTTAAAGAGTGCTGCTTCTTATCTAGCCATCATGACACTGATGAACATAGGTACCTTTCATATAGATTAGAGCGACTTAAATATTGACTATCATAAGCATTATTATTTCTTTTTTTTTTTTTTTTTTTTTTTTTTTTGAGTTGGGGTCTCACTCTACCACTCAGGCTGGAGTGCAGCGGCACCATCACAGCTCTTCAAAGCCTCAACCTCCTGGGCTTATGCGATCCTTCTGCCTTAGCCTCCCAAGTAATTAGGACTACAGGCTTGTGCCACCATGCCCAGTTAATTTTTTGTAGAGACGAGTTCTCACTATGCTATCTAGGTTGGTCTTGAACTCTTGGGCTCAAGTGATCCTCCTGCCTTGGCCTCCCGAAGTGCTAGGATGACAGGTGTGAGCCACTGAGCCTAGCCTCAAAGTCATCTTTAAAATAAGCAATGAGACGCCGGAGGATAGCCTTGAGGCCAGGAGTTGGAGACCAGCCTGGGCAATATAGCAAGACCCTGTCTCTACAAAAAAAAAAAAAAAAATTAGCCAGGTGTGGTGGCCCACACCCATAGTCCCAGGTACTTGAGAGGTTGAGGTGGGAGAATCCCTTGAGCCCAGGTGTTTGAAGCTGCAGTGAGCTATGTTCACGTCTTGGGTGACAGTGAGAATCTGTCTTTAAAAAATAATTAATTAAAAATTAATTAAAAGGCAATGACATCACTTCACATTTGACTTAAAACTCTTCAACAGCTCTCTGTTGCGTTTAGAATAGTCTTCAGATTTAGCCCTGCGTGACTCAAGGCCTTGTACGACTCAACTCCTGCTTCCCTCTCCTATCTTTTCTCTTCTCTCATCTCATCCATTTTCTCTCCTCGCTCATTAGGTTGCTGATCTCAACATTAACTCAAAACCTACCAAGTATGCTTCCTCCTCAGCGCAACTACTGTTCCTTTCTCCTGAAACCATCTTCCCAGGGCCCTCTTTCAGTCCTGGTCCGTTCTTGTCATTCCTCTTTTACCTTAAATGTCATCCCTTCAGAAAGACCTGTCCTGACCACTTTATCTCACATATCCCCCCATCCCTTTACTCTTGTCTATATGTCTCTTTTGAATTTTCCCCACAACTATTTTTTTTTTGAGTCAGAGTTTCACTCTGTCGCCCAGACTGGAGTGCAGGGGCACGCTCACGGCCACCACACCCTCGACCCTCTGGGCTCAGGTGACCCTTCTGCCTTAGCCTCCTAAGTAGCTGGAATTACAGGTGCACGCCACCAAGTCCAGTTAATTTTTTTATTTTTGCAGAGACGAGGTCTCATCAAGTTGCCCAGGCAGGTCTCAAACCCCTGGACTCAGGCAATCCTTTTGCCTCCGCCTCCTAAAGTGCTGGGATTACAAGCGTGAACCACTACGCCTGGTGCCCTACAACTATTAAATTCATCCTGTTTAAATATTTATTTATTTTCTGCCTGGGAATAGGGGTTTATGCTTATAATCCCAGCACTTTGGGAGGCCTAGGTGGGAGGATTTCTTGAACCTAGGAGTCTGAGAGGCCTCATTTCTACAAAAAATGCAAAAATTAGCTAAGTGTGATGGTGTGCACCTGTAGTCCCAGCTACTTGGGAGGCTGAGGTAGGAGGATAGCCTGAACCCAGTAAGTTGAGGCTGTGGTGAGCTGGCACTGCACCACTGCACTTCAGCTTGGGTGACAGAGTAAGACCCTGTCTCATAAAAGAAAAAAAATATATTTCTTTTCTCTTACACTGCCTGTCTCCCTTATGAAATATAAGCTCTATGAAGGTACAGACTTTGGTAGTTTTATTACTAAGGAATCTCTATTCTCTAGAACAATATTTAATTTGTTGACTGGATGGATACATTAGTCAAATATTATTAATTTTCTATTATAAATGTAAAATTCTTTAAAAATTTTTGAAAACTTTGGCCCAGCTCATGCATGACTTTTTTTGATATTGTGAGGTCCAAATTGTTGAGGTTTTGTTATCACTTTCTTCTTGGATATTTTAACTCTCCAGTGTAGGATACTAACCTATAAATCTACCAATACTTTTTTTTTTTTTTTGAGTTGTAGTCTTACTCTGTCGCCCAGACTGGAGTGCAGTGGCCGCTCCCGGCCACCGCAGCCACGATCTGCTGGGCTCCGGCGATCCTTCCGCCTCAGCCTTCCAAGTTGCTGGAACGACAGGTGCGCGCTACCACGCCCGGCTAATTTTTTGATTTATTGTAGAGATGAGGTCTCACCAAGTTGCCCAGGCGGGTCTCGAACCCGCAGGCTCAGGCAATCCACTCACCTCTGCCTCCCAAGGTGCAGGATTACAGGCTGTGCCACCGAGCCCGGCTTCTACCAATACTTATAGTTCAATTTTCCAACAATCATTTTTTACATAATTCCTTCTCCAACTTTGTCAATGAAATTAATGATAAAAATTAGTAATTTTTTTCCTAGAAACTTTGTTATACTATAATAAGAGTAGGGCTACACACACACACATATACACACGTATGTTTGAGCTTATTTCTGGATTAAGTATTGATTGTTTCAAAAGTTTTTGCCCAATTCGTTTAATTAGCCCAATTTATTTTTGACAGGTACAAGATAGAAATTCCATTATCGGAGAAAACTACAGATGGCCTCACACCATTCCTTATGTTCTAGAAGATAGCTTGGGTTAGTATGCATCTTGGAGTATATATAATGTATGTTTCTGACAGAATATGATTACTGTGTTTCCAAGGGTGAGCTCACATGGCCTTTAAGGTTTTGTTTGTCCCTTTGTGTGACTGTATGCGTTTACTTAAAAATATAAGCAAAGTGAACAATGAGAAGAACCTAAATGATTCTGTCTGAAATATTTGCTGTGTTTTGACCAATATAGGGATTAATTCAACCGACATTTACCTCGTGTCCCCAGTGCCTACTCTGTGCTAGATACTGGGGACACAAGGATTAGGACACTAGACTTTATTTTGAAGCAGTGATTTCCCACGTGTTCAGATTTTCTATGTGATAAAAAGCATAAAATAACCAACTAAACAAAACTTTAGGGACTAGCAATATATTAACAAACATTTTATTTTGCCCAGTTGGGAACTTAAACAATGAGAACCTACTATCTTTTATTATCATCTTTAAAATACTAAAATGTCAGAATAATAGAATAAAAAAATAGGGACAACTTTTCTATAGAAGGAATTTAATTTTGATAGAATATTCTAACCATGGCCCTCATTTTGCTGATAGACTGGTGACCACGATGTCACTGACCAGCATCAGTTTAGAAAACTGCTGGGGTTTTTTGTTTGTTTTGAATCAGAGTCTCACTCTGTCGCCTAGGCTGAAGTACAATGATACGCTCATGGCCACCGCAGCCTCAACCTGCTGGTCTCTGGTGATCCTTCTGCTTCAGCCTTCCAAGTAGCTGGAACCATGTGCCACCATGCCTGACTAATTTTTTTATTTATTGTAGAGACGAGGTCTTGTCAAGTTGTCCAGGCTGGTCTTGAACACTGGGGCTCAAGCAATCCTCTTGTCTCCGCCTCCCAAAGTGCTGGGATTACAGGCATGAGCCACTGCGCCCTGCCCCGAAAGTGCTGTCTGGGAAAAGTTTGTCTGGGAAAAACCCCTACTGTTTTCTTTAAAAATCATGCATTTCAGTGGAGATTCAGATAAACCAAAAGTGAATTATGACAGAGTTGAAGTGTGATTAGTGATGTGTCCAAAGAGCTATGAGAACACACTGGAGGGTGACTAACCCATGGTAGATCTCAAGGTACAAGCAGATGACATCCTGCGGCAGGGTTGCCATGAAGGTTGTATAAGATGTACACCATACGCAGGTGGCTAGGAGGGTGGACAAGCAGGGCTGAGACTAACACTGTGTTCCATTTACCAGGAGGCATTCATTTCCCTGCATGAAAGTACCACTGACCACCTGGCCAGCCAGCACTGGCACCTGCCCAGATGCAGCCCCTCTTTCTGATTGGCACACAGGCACCCTGTGGGCGAATGAGGCCTCTGGTAGCAAGGGAAGGGCATTCTAGGCAGATGGACCACCCTGTGCCAAGGCACAGAGAGGAGAGAAAACCCCCAGATGGACTTTAGTTTGGGAGTGGGAAGACAGGAAGTTGAGCAGGAAGACAGGGCCCTTACTGGAAAGGACTTGGGTCTTTCCCATGTGAAAGAACTTGAAGTGTGTACTAATGGTAACATGGACCCACCAAAAGTTTTCTTGTGGAAGTGAGATCATTATAATTGCACTTTAGAATAGTCACTCTGGTTGTGATGTAGAAGTCATGTTATTAGTGGGGTAAGAAGAAGGCAAGGAGGCCAGTTAAAAGACTGTTAAGGAAATTCAGGGATGCAAAGAAGAGATTCTGAACCAAGACTCTCTCAGTAGGGATAAACGAGAGTGGATGAATCTAAACATGATTTAGGAGGCCATTGTTAGATTTGGTGACTGACAGTAAGAGTTCAAGAAGAAGGTAAGTCTAGGTAAAGAGATGCTAGTGCCAGGATTCGGTCTTGGGTAACTGGAAGGATGACTATGCCTTTAATAAGAAAAGGGACTATATTTGAAAATAGTTGAGATAAAGAAGTGTGGTGGAAAATAGTTCTGGGTTTGCAGAATTTGAAATGCATCAGGGTCATTTTGATAGAGACATCAAATACATGTTGGCATATGACCTGGTCATTCAAGATAGAGATGTATTTGGGAACTATTCGGATATAAGAGATGGTTGGAGCCATGGGTATGAATGAATGTCTCTCACCCAATGCCTTAATAGGCACTCTATAGATAACTGGATCTTATTGACTGATCTTAGAAGATTGTATTGAGTGAGAAAATGGCCAAGAATGGAACTCAGCCTGGGAGTGTAATTTTTTTGGAATTTATATAGAAGGAAGATTTGGTAGACATATTGAGAGGGAGAAATGGCCAGAAATGTAGATTTAAAAAACCAACCGTAGGGTAGAGAACTGCAAGAAAGGATGGTTAACAGGATTAGAAGTTATCAAGAGGTCATGGGATATGAGGAGAGAGAGAGATGTTCATTGACGTTTGGAATCAGGGAAGTCTGAAAGATTTAAAATACACATTTTCTTTGCTTAGTCTCTTGATTAAAAAATGTAAAGTACTTTTGTTTTGAAAATTTTTATAGATATTTTTTCTTTTTGGAAGCATCTTTATTGAATAAAATGGAGATTACATTATATCTAGGAGTAGAGCAAACATGACAGTGATAGTACAGGGGGAATATTAAGATCAGATACGCTGACATTTATGTTGTGCCACTTGTGCCTGCCTTGTTGGAGATTCAAACTAAAATCTTAAAAAAAAACAATGAAAGTCTTTTCTTTATTTTTCTCCTTGGGTCAACCTAATTTTCTAGTGGTGGATGGAAACTGAATTTGTGATTTATAACATATTAATTCTAATAAGCAATAAACTATATGGGTTTTTGAACATAATTTAGGCAAAAATAGTCAAAAGACCTCTCAGGCAAACAATGTAACCAGAACTTGAGTTTTTCTCTTATTACTCTGGGGATATAAATTAATATTTATTCTCCTAAGTGTGTTCCATGAAAGATAAGTGAGCCTTAACTTGACTGCATCTCTTAGGCTATTTTTACCAAGTATTTTACCCAAATACATCCTAATCCCTTATGAGTTTTATTTATCTGTTTCTTTTTCTTACTTTGAAGATGCTTTCCTTTGACATTTACCTGTTTTTCATTGTAGACAACACAGCAAATACTTTGAGGACAGAGTTATTTTTCATCTTGCAAGTGTGAGGCTTAGCATAATCTCTGGCATATTATATGCAGTAAATACATATTTTAAAATAAATTGATAAATATTTGAGAATATTGACTTCATATACTGGGGTGCGAAAAATGTATACACATTTTAAGAGATGTTATCTGTGTATTACTTTTCAAAGTTGAGTTGAATTATGATAGCAACGTGTAGTATGACGTTCAAATGAATGCTAGCATCACCATGCTACAGGCAGGTATATATTGAGTATTGCAATTTTAATAATTTTTTCCTTTCTTAAAATGTGTATAACTTTTTTGGCACCCTCTGTATATACATATATATTTATATGAAGCATGTTAGGTTAAAAAAAATCAGCCTAGCTCCTACAATTCAAACTGCGTTCATTTTTACATAGTTATAAACAATGGTGTTTTACATTTTTAATTCTAATTTTTCCACTTAATATTAGTGCATTTTTTCATTTTATATAGTCTTCATAATAGAATTACATTTAAAATTTTTATGGACCAATTTTTTAAATGATGTGATATTGATCTTTTTCTTATTTAGAAAATACTTTACCTCTGTGTAGTTTTGAAGACTGCAATTCATTTTCTATGCTCAAATTAAGAAAAGTATTTTCTCACATTTCAGGAGTTTGATCTATCTTCAAGTGACTTAGACTAAGGAAATTACTAAGCAAGTCTTCTCTTACATGTAGCAAAAACAAATACCTAGTAAGATATTTCTGGAAGGCCCTAATCTGGTAGGCCACCTGTGAGATTCAACCAGCGGGACTTTAGTCTTTGAGTTTAAACTTCAGGTGTTATCTGGTGGGTAGATGCAACTCCCTTGAAAGGGATAGTACTTGAAGCAGCCATTTATGGCTTCCAGTGAATAAGTTATAATTTCTTGCCTGAGTGCCAAATTTAGGGGGAGGGAAGGTGGAGTAGGGAAGCATGGGGGTAAAAGAAGCAGGGATATAAATGAAGGGAAAGGGCTAGAAACCTGAACTGGCTAGTAAGGAAAAATGGTACTGAACATCTGCTTGCTGAACTCCTGGAATTGTCAGAGACTCGCCTGATCCTTCAGAGCTTAGAAATTTACACGCCATGATCCCAGGTGGAGCTTTCTGCATCTGTGATGCAAAGTCAATTAAGGCCTCTGGGAAATAAAGGCACATGGTAAATGAAGCTCTTACCTTGGTAGCGAGCTATATTGTTTATAAAACTTTCACAAATGTTTTCTTATTTAATTATCAGAACAATTCAATGTTGGGAAGAAACTATACTCATTAAGCTTTGTTAAAACACCTAGACTGCAGGGCGTGGTGGCTCACGCCTGTAATTCCAGCACTTTGGGAGGTGGAGGAGAGAGGATTGCCTGAGCCCATGGGTTTGAGATCAGCCTAGGCAACTTGGCGAGACCTCTACAATAAATAAAAAAATTAGCCTGGCATGGTGGCATGCGCCTATAGTTCCAGCTACTTGGAAGACTGTCAGAAGGATCACCTGAGCCCAGCATGTTGAGGCTGCAGTGGCGGTGATCATGCCACTACACTCCAGCCTGGGCAACAGAGTGAGACTCCAACTCAAAACAAAAACAAAAACAAAAAGGCCTAGACTGACAGCCCCTGTTCTAAAACAGTGCCATGGTGATCGGCATCATCACACCTTATTTTAAGGATATGTTACATCTGAAATAATGATCCAAATGTGATATTTATCGGACAGAACATTTTGAATGTTACAGCCATATAAGACAGTCATTAAAATGATAAAAACAATACTTAGTAATGAAAAAAGATTCCAGTCGTATATTATTTAGTGAAAAAATAGTTGGTAAAATATTTTGTAGATTGTGACTTTTTAAATAAAAATATGTGTATGTTATGTATGTATTCATAAACAAAAGGAATGGCAAGGGCAATTGATTATTCCTGGACGATAGGATTTTAAATATCTTTTTGTTCACATCCATTTTCTAACTCATTTATAACAATTGTGTATTACTTGTGTGGTATTGTAAAATGTTGAACTCTAAGTGCCTCTTATATAATCATGGATGTTAGGATCTTACCTACATGAATTCTGTTCTTGATCTTCTCAGACTTGCCTAGACAGAGGCATTCCAAGTAATCTTCCTTGAGCTTCTACACAATGTTTACTTAAGAAGGAGGAAGGAAATGAACATTTTACTTGGGACTGCACCTTTACTTTCTCTCCTTATCCTCACAATATCCCTGCGTAGGTGATTTTATTCCCTCACTTAACTGATAACACCAAAACTCCAAAGGTGAATTGAATTGGCCAAGGTGACACGTCATAAGTGGTGAGGGTAGGGAGGCACACGGGTGTTTCTGGCTCCAAAGTCCAAGTGCTTTTAGCCCACCATGCCATCTCCTACATCCTGGCAGGACACCATCCTTCACTTCACCAGGACTTGGCCCATTTGTGTCGTCTTCCATGTGCCTCTGATACAGTCCCTGTCTCCTGGTTGCCCATAAGCTTCTTTTTCTGCATGTTGCTTTCATGCCTCTGCTTTCTTTGAGCTCCATTATCTGTCCGACCCATTGGCATCACTTCTCTCCAAACATTGGTTCTTAACCTTTTTAAATTTTTAAGTTGGAATCTCACTCTGTCGCGTAGGCCAGAGTGCAGTGGCACACTCAAGGCCACCTCGCATCGACCTGCTGGGCTCTGGCAATCCTTCCGCCTCAGCCTCCCAAGTAGTTGGAACTATAGGCGTGTGCTATATGCCCGGCTAATTTTTATTGTATTTTATTTTATTGTAGAGATGTGGTCTCACCACGTTACCCGGGCTGGTCTCGAACCCACAGACTCAGGCAATCCACTCATCTCGGCCTCCCAAAGTGCTAGGATTACAGGCTGAGTCATCGAGTCCGGACTTAACCCTATTTTTAATTTAAATTTTATTTTATTTTAAAGTTGTGGGCAACAAGTCAGGATTGAGTACATAAGTGAAGTTTTGGGCCTCCCATTGGACTTCACTTTGCCTGGATTAGGATCAGAAACCCTTATTGATGTTATGCGCCCCACCCCTCCCTTCCCCTGGCAGTGTCTCACTACTGCCAATCACTTTTTTGTAGTATGATGATAGGTGTTCAGGGTCCACTTATGAGTAAGAACATGTGGTGCTCAGTTCTTTGTTTCTGTGATAGATCACTGAGTATGATCAACTCCAAATCCATCCAAGTCGCTGAAAAGTCCGTATTTTGTCCTTCTTTATGGCTATGTAATATTCCATTGTGTATATGTACCACATTTTTTTTTATCCAGTCCATCTTCGATAGTTCTCAACCCTGCTCTGAACTCACTTGCAAACCTCTTGTAAGCACTTCCTAGAAAATGCACTTTGCACATGTAGATATAGATATACACTTTGCAAACTATTTCAAAGTGTTCATGGACCCTCCAACTCAAAGTCTTCAGATTAAGAACTCTGCTGTGAGGTTTTAAATACATAGTGTAGCTTCTCAGTGAAAGCTGAGTTGGTGATTATTTAATTTGAAAGCTGAGTTGGTGATTAATGTGTTGGTGATTATTTATTTTGATTGCCTGTGATCTAATGTATATGTTCTCTGAGGTAAGGAAATGCATTTTTAATGTTTAGTAATGTCCCATTAGTGAGCTCCAGAGAAATGTAAGACAAAATAAGGGATCTGAAGAATAATCAAATACTCTATAGAATACTCAGTTGGTACTGATTCTAAATTTTTGTAAAAATACTAAACATTCATGAAAGGGCTAACTCATGATAAACAATATATTGCATGATCTGCTTCTATGGTGAATTTTTCAGTGTTTTTTTTTCCATTTTATTTGTTATTATTATTTTTTATTTTAGATTCAAGAGGTACACCCCCATGTTTGTTAGATGGACATATTGTGTAGTGGTGGGGATTGGGTCTTAGGTGGCCCATTCCTTAGATAGTGAACACTGTGCCCCGTAAGTAGTTTCTGAACCCTAACCCTCCTCCCCACCTCCTTCCTTATTGGTGTCCCCAGTGTCTATTATTTCCATATTTATGACCATTTAGCTCCCACATACAAGTGAGAATATGTGGTGTTTGGTTTTCTGTTTCTGAGTCAGTTCACTTAGAAAGATGATCTCCAGCTCCATCCATGTTGCTACAAACAAAAGACATGATTTCATTATTTTTTATGTCTGCATGGTATTCCACCATGTATTTGTAAGTGATTATTATTTTAGTAATTATGTTTTTGTTTGTTTCCTTCTCTCAGAAATGAATGCTAAGGGAGTTATCCTCAATGCATTTGAACGCTATCGCCTAAAAACGTGTATTGACTTCAAGCCTTGGACTGGAGAAGCTAACTATATATCAGTGTTCAAAGGCAGTGGGTAAGTTGAGGAATTAGTCTTTTAGGGTTCTAGAGAGAACTGTCACACCTGAGGCATTGCAATATAACAATTGTCCTAGGCCCTGACCTTTAGGATAGGGTGGGGGCTTCCTTTGCTGGCTGTTGGAGAGTAAAAGACCGCTGGAGTTTTTCTAGTCCTAGAAATAATAGATCCATACAGGCAACCAGACTACCAATGTTAAGACAAGGTATGTGTGACTGTGTACCATCCAATCCACAACCTTGTGAATTTCAACCCATTTGTAATTTACATATTCTTTACTTCCCCCTTCAGATAAAACACACATATGTGTGCATGTCTGTATTTTTTTTTTTTAAGTTGGGATTTCACACTGTCACCCAGGCTGGAATGCAGTGTCAGGATCACAACTCACCAGAGCCTCCACCTCCTTGGCTCAGGAGATCCTTCCACCTCAGTCTTCTGAGTGGGCTGGGACTACAGGCATGCACCACCATGCCCAGCTACTTTAAAAAAAAATCTTTCGTAGAGATGAGGTTTTGCTATGTTGCCCAGGCTGGTCTCGAACTCCTGTGCTCAAGCAATCCTTCCACCTCAGCCTCCCAAAGTACTAGGATTACAGGCATGAGCCACCATGCCTGGTCCTGTATTTAAATTTATTTTAATCTAGTAACTCTCATTTCTTGAGCTAAGAAGGCAACAGTCTTGAGCTCATTGATTCTTGAGCAGTTGCTGTCTTGCAAAGCTCTTGTGAATGGGCACAGGCACACTAAGGAGAATCTCAAAAGACTGAAATTCCCAGGAAAACCAGGACGAGGCTAAAGGGGGGACTTACTCCTGTGAGTAAAAGGGAGGAGATCACTTTGTCCATAACGTTTTTCCTTCCCTCACCTGGGTCATGAGAGGAATGTACAGACAGACAAACAAAGAATTCAGGTGGGTGATGAAGTGGGTGAGGCAGTGGAGATTCTGCCCTGAGACCTCAAAGTGCATCATTGTAACATCCTCTCCCCCCCTCCTGTGAACTCTCCTGTAAGGTGCTGGTCTTCCGTGGGAAATAGGCATGTTGGGAGGCAAGAACTTTCCATCGGGGCAAACTGTGACCGAATAGCCACGATTCAACATGAGTTCCTGCACGCACTGGGATTCTGGCACGAGCAGTCACGTTCTGATCGGGATGACTATGTCAGAATAATTTGGGAAAGAATTCAGTCAGGTATATTTCTTTTGTTTTCTTGCATTTTTAGTGAAAGACTGGATTTCTGAGCATGTGTCCTCTCTTGCCATCTGTGCCAATTTTTTTTTTTGCATTGGAGTCTCACTAAGTCACCCAGACTGGAGTGCAGTGGCCGCTCCTGGCCACCGCAGCCTCGACCTGCTGGACTCCGGCGATCCTTCCGCCTCAGCCTTCCAAGTAGCTGGAATTACAGACATGCGCTACCACACTCGGCTGATTTTTTCGATTTATTGTAGAGATGAGGTCTCGCTGCCCAGGCGGGTCTCGAACCCGCGGGCTCAGGCAATTCACTCACCTCAGCTTCCCAAAGGCGTGGGATTACAGGCTGAGCCACTGAGCCTCGCTATGCCAACTTTTTTAAAAAATATTTTTTGCTCTTTTTTTGTAGAGATGAGGTCTTTCTATGTTGCTCAGACTGATCTTGAACTCCTAGCCCCGAATGATACTCAAGCCTCAGGCTCCCAAAGTACTGAGATGACAGGCGTGAGTCATTGCGCCCAGCCTCAACTGTTAATAATGTTAAAACTCGGCCAGGCTTGTTGGCTCAGCCTGTAATCCCAGCACTTTGAGAGGCCGAGGCGAGTGGATTGCCTGAGCCCCTGGGTTTGAGACCAGCCCAGGCAACCTGGCAACAACTCGTCTCTACAATAAATAAAAAATTAGCTGGGTGTGGTAGCTTGCACCTGTAGTTCCAGCTACTGAGAAGGCTGAGGCCAAAGGATCACTGGAGCCCAGCAGGTCGATGCTGGAGTGGCCATGAGCATACCACTGCACTACAACTTGGGTGACGGAGTAAAACTCCAATTCAATAATAATAATAATAATAATAATAATAATAATAATAATAATAATAATAATAATTTTAAAGCTCTGATGTTTTGATGTCTTACTTCACTTAGCTCTGAGTCTGAGTTGACGTGTCTTAAAGTCATTGGGGCACTATGATCTCAGAACTCCAGTACTTCTGAGCCAGATATGTTCTAAGAAACTTTTTCGTGTTTCCCAAAACGTGTTCTATGGAGTCTGTCCCACAACATGTCCATAAGGTCAGTGTGTAGACAGGAGTCTGTGGTCAAATTATTTTGGCAAATCCAAGGGTATCAGTCTGTTTTGTGCTGCTATAACAAAATACCATAGACTGAGCGATTTATAAGAACAGACGCCTATTTCTCAGGGTTCTGAAGGCTGGAAAGTTCAAGGTCAAGGGACTGACCTTTGGCGAGGGCCTTCCTGCTGTGTAACATCCCATGACAGAGGGCGGAAGGGCAAGAAAGAATGCATGAAAGGAAAGGGGCCCAAAGTTCCTCTCATAAGGAACCCATGTCTGCAATAGCAAACCCAATCCTGCGATAATGGCACTAATAAATTCACGGGGGTGGAACCTTCATGGCCAGTTCACCTCTCATTAGGTCCTCCCTCCCAATGCCGTTACACTGGGGATTAAGTTCCCGACATATGCTTTTTGGAGGAGCACATTCAAACCGTAGCACCTAGGTTTAAAGAAATTAAATGTACTTATTCTGCTGGCCTTCTCAAAGTCCCTGTTAGATGGACATGAATTGTAAACCTCCAAGAAAAGGAGCCTTTTCCAAAGTGATTTGATCATAGTTTTCTTTCTGCAAGTAGCCTGTGGAGTATTTGGATTTCTTGGATTTCATGGATACCATTTTGGGAAACATTGTAGCAGTTGAACAGCCTGAACTCTTTGTGATTTTGTGCTCAGAGTCACAAAGGTCTTAATCACCACGTATGACCAGAGCTCACGTTTTTCACACTCCACAGTGACCTTAGCTTCCTTATCTGTCCGGCTTGTGTGGGCCGAAGCAGAGGGAATGGCACTGCTAATGAGTGAGGGCTGTGCTGTGTGATGCCCCTGACACCACAGTCCTGAAATCACAGCTCTTGCTTTTAATCCCCTCAGCCTCTGGTGATCTCAGCTGAGGTCACGAATAGCAGCAAACTAAAGGATTTCTAGAGCAAAAGACGCACTTAGCTTTAATCCACAGCCTCACTCTTTAGTATTCCCAAAATAACATTTTTTGTTAGATGCTTCTGCCCACTTTTACTAAAGCATCTTTATGATTTAGAGATTAGAACCATCTCATTGGGTCCACAAAACCATCTGATTTCAGTTGTGATCAGTCGCCCATTAGTACAATGCTAAGTGGTCTGGCATCTTCTCTAAATGTATTCATTAAAAATTTTATTATTATTATTTTATTTTTTTAATGGAAGAATCATAATTGTATATATTTATGGGGTACAATGTGATGTTTTGATATATGTACACAATGATTAAAACAAAATAACTAACAGCCATCACCTCACTTACTTAACTTTTTTTGTGGTGAGACATTTGTGATTTATTTTTTTTGCTGGGCATGGTGGCTCATGCCTGTAATTCCAGCACTTTGGGAAGCTGAGGTGGGAGGATCGATCGCTTGAAGCCAAGAGTCTGAGGTGAGCCTGAGTAATACAGTGAGACTCCTTCTGTACAAAAGATAAAACATAAAAAGTTACCAGAGATGGTGGTGCATGCCTGTTGTCCTAGCTCCTGAGATGGGAGATGGCTTGAGCCCAGAAAGTCAGACTATGGTGAGTTGTGATCTTGCTACTACACTTCAGCCTTGATGACAGAGTGAGACTCTGCTTAAAAAAAAAAAAAAAGAGGCAGATGGATCGTCTGACCCCAGCAAGCTGAGGCTACAGTGACCATGAGTGTGCCACTGCACTCCAGTCTGGGTGACAGTGTGAGACTCCTACTCAAAAAAAAAAAAAAAAAAAAAAAAGGCCGGGTGCAGTGACTCGCACCTATCCCAGCACTTTGGGAGGCCTAGGTGAGAGGATTGCCTGAGCCCACAGGTTCAAGACCAACCTGGGCAACTTAGTGAGACCTCATCTCTACAATAAATCACATAATCAGCCGGGTGTGGTGGCGCATGCCTGTAGTTCCAGCTACTTGGAAGGCTGAGGTGGAAGGATCGCCTGAGCGATCAGTAGGTTGAGGCTACAGTGGCTGTGAGCGTGCCACTGTACTCCAGCCTGGGCAACAGAGGTGAGACTCCAACCCAAAAGAAAAAAAGAGAGAGAGGGGCAGAGAGATTTGCTCTCTTAGCAATTTTGAATTAGACAATATAGTATTATTAACTGTAGCCACCAAGCTTTAAATACATCTACACATATTCCAATGACCATGAAATCCCTATGCCAATCCTTCATAATTATTCCTTTCTAGAACTGCTAGAGAGTTATCATTCCCAGGTCTCATCTCACCATCCCTCCCAAACCCTCTTACTTCTGTCCCCAGCTGCAGTGGCGGCCACAACCTGCTCACCACTAGCCAATGTCCTGATTTGTTTAACAGCACTTGTTTGACTCCTCCTTTTCATGAGTGGTTTAGAACTTTCGGCCAAATGCTAATGTTCCAACTTTGGGCTGTGATGGAACCTTAGATATGATCATTGCAGCTGCTGGTATCATAAGTCTAAACTTGAATATTATATTCTAAGATAGGAATAATGAGAAATACAGTAAATCAGTTGTAGTAAAAGTTGCTTAAGGTTCTATATTCTCCATTTCTAAGTTAACAGTATTAGGAGTAAGGTAAGATGAAGTCTGTGAACGTCAAGTGTTTGTTTGTTTGAGTCAGGGTCTCATTCTCTCACCCAGGCTAGAGTGCAGTGACACAATCACAGCTTATCACAGCCTCAACCTCCTAGACTGAAGCGATCCTCCTGCCTCAGCCTCCCAAGGAGCTGGGACTACAAAATCAAGAAATTAAAGGTTTTTTATTCATCCTTTAGGCAAGGAGCACAATTTTAACACCTATGATGATAAAGTATCAGATTCTCTGAACGTTCCCTATGACTATACCTCGGTGATGCACTACAGTAAAACCGCATTCCGAAATGGAACTGAGCCGACCATTGTAACAAGAATCTCAGACTTCGAGGATGTGATCGGCCAACGCATGGATTTCAGTGACTATGATCTCCTCAAGCTGAACCGACTGTATAACTGCTGTATGTGACAGATTCTTTGAAATAATTTGTATTTCCCTCTGCAATGTAGGAAACAATGAAGACCCACCCCATTTTGCTGAGCATTTTGTTGGGGTATCTGAGGTTATAGAAATGTGAAATTCAGGGCAAAAAAAAAAAAAAAATAGCATCTGCTCCCGATCTATAACTGGGGAACAGCATTTTTCTTCTCACAAGGTCACAAATTGGGTCCTGCAGGAATATGCCCCAGGCAGTTTTTTGAAGCTGTTACTAATTCAAATGTGGATCAGTTTGAACTGCTTTTCAATTAAAATGAGGTGTATAGTTGTAATATAATCGGAATTCAATAATCTGGGTTGTGGCTTGAGGATTGGATAACTAGAGGGAGCGTGGACTCCGGTTTCTATGAACTAGATACTTAAAAAAAAAAAAAAAAAAAAAAGACTTGGGGCAGGCAGTTTATTCACCTACAGAGTTAATCCATTGTTTTAGGGCTTCTGTCGATAAAGGGGTGGCCATCAAGTCACTGTCACCTCGAATGGAGGAGGCATTCCCTAACGCTATCCTGTTATTTCTAATACTGGGATACACTCAGTTTTTATTACTTAGATAATGTTGTATGAGTGCCAATAATTATTCATTTGTTTTTTTCTTTTGTAGCCTCTTCCTTGAGTTTCATGGACTCATGTGATTTTGAACTGGAAAATGTGTGCGGTATGATCCAAGGTTCCGGAGATAATACTGACTGGCAACGCATTTCTCGGGCTCCTGGGGGGCCAGAGAGCGATCACTCCAACATGGGCCAGTGCCAAGGTAACAGAAGTGAGGTCCTTCTAGATTGCACACTCAGTGGCCCCAGCCTTGTCCTTCTCTATGAAGTACTGGGCTTTTGTCTCTGATTTCTATCAGAAGCATGAGTGATAATTCATGAGGTTGCTACCATGGGACAGGCCTTGCACCTTATAAGAACATGGTTAATTTCTTTGCTTTTACTCTCTGACTTTGTTTTGATTTCTACGAGCCAGAGCTGTATTCTGTGATGCCTCTACCAATATGTGCTCACAGCAGGAAAGACCTGGGCCTCCTGGAAGGCCTTTTGCCTCAGGGGCAGTTTGCAGAATACAAGAGATATTTTCCAGTGGACAGCACTAGGCTGTGAATTATTCCATTTTAGAATTATAGCTGGATGTGATTACATGTTCCTGTTACAAAATATCTCAGCTGAGGATAGAAAGCCTAATTTATTTTTATTCAGATGAGTATCCTTTTCAATTCTCATTTTGTTTTGAATTAAGTATTTCTTTGGCTACAAATCCTATTTTATTTTTTGAGTTAGAGTCTCACTCTGTCACCCAGACCGGAGTGCAGTGGCCACTCCCGGCCACCGCAGCCTCGACCTGCTGGGCTCCGGTGATCGTTCCGCCTCAGCCTTCCAAGTAGCCGGAATTACTGGCATGCGCTACCATGTCCGGCTGATTTTTTGCTTTATTGTAGAGATGAGGTCTCGCTGCCCAGGCGGGTCTCGAACCCGCGGGCTCAGGCAACCCACTCACCTCAGCCTCCCAAAGGCGCGGGATTACAGGCTGAGCCACTGAGCCCGGCTCCGTATTTTATTTATTTGCTTTTTTTTTTTTTTTTTTTGAGTTGGGGTCTCTCTCTATTGCCCAGGCTGGAGTGCAATGGCTCACCACAATCTTGACTTCCTGGGCTAAGGCAATCCTCCTACCTCAGCCTTCCACCTAACTGGAACTGTAGGTGTGCACCATCATGCTCAGCTAAATTTTTGACTTTTTTTGTAGAAACGAGGTCTCACTATGTTGCCCAGGCTGGTTTCGAACTCCTGAGCTCAAGCAATCCTCTTGCTTTGACTTCTCAGAATGCTGGAATTACAGGCATGGGTCATTGTGTGTGGCCAATTTACTTATTTCTGGCAGCAGATGTGTAAAAACTAGACCAGAATTTAGGACCAGTGCTTGATAGCTCAGATGATCTAGGCATTGATTAAGACTGCTAGTGGAAAAAAGATGTCTTTCCTTTCCTTTCCTTTATGCTTTTTTTTTTTTTTTT